CTTGTGTTTGGCTGTGGAGACACAATTGAAGAGGCCACACGAGATCATGACAAGAATCTCATCGGTCTACTGCAAAGAGCCAGATCAATCAACCTGAAATTGAACAATACAAAACTACGACTTCGGAGGTCAGCAATACCTTACCTTGGTCATCTTCTTACAGCAGAAGGTCTCAAACCTGACCCTGACAAAGTGTGTGTTATCACAGAGATGCCCAAGCCAACTGACAAGAAAGCTGTTCAACGCTTCATTGGTTTCATCAATTATCTGGCGAAATTCTTACCTTGTTTGTCAGATGGCTGTGAACCACTGCGACGTCTCCTGGACAAAGACGCAGTGTGGTGTTGGCAAACACAGCATGAGGCTGCATTTGAGCACATCAAGACTTTAGTGACTAACACTCCTGTGCTCAGATACTATGATGTGCGTGAAGAAGTGACCATACAAGCAGATGCAAGTGAAGAAGGGCTAGGTGCAACCTTGCTTCAAAATGGTCAACCTGTGTGCTTCGCATCCAGATCCCTTACTCCTACAGAGCAGCGATACGCACAAATTGAAAAAGAATGCTTAGCTGTGGTGTTCGGCTGTGAACGCTTTGACCAATACGTGTACGGTCGTGAGCTGATCAATGTACAAACCGATCATAAGCCACTTGAGACTATCTTCAAGAAATCTCTTCTCTCTTCTCCCAGAAGGCTACAGAGAATGATACTACGTCTGCAAAAGTACTACCTTGATGTCCGCTACAAGAAGGGCACAGATATGTACATTGCAGATTTCCTGTCGCGAGCCTCACTTCCACTCAGGAAGATAGAGCCGACTTTGAAAGACTATGAAATCTTTGCTGTTTCGGAGGACACTTCCTTCATCAGCGAACTGAAGAATATCAACGCTGCAGAATGTATCACTGTCACAGATCAGCATCTCGATCAAATTCAGCGTCTCACTCAACAAGGCGTCAATCTCCAGACTCTCAAGTCCACCATCTTAGCCGGCTGGCCAGAACAACGTGAGGACACTCCAGTGTGTGTCAGAGACTACTGGACATTCCGAGAGGAAATAAGTGTTCAGAATGGTGGTCTCTTCAAAGGATCACGAATTGTGATTCTGCCAGCAATGCAAAGTGAAATGCTTCAGCGCCTTCATGGAAGCCATCTCGGAGCCAAAGCATGCATCCGAAGGGCACGTGATGTTGTATATTGGCAAAACATGACTGTAGACATTAAAGACCATGTTGGTCAATGCACAGTGTGTTCAGAAATGAGGCCCAAACAGCAGAAGGAAACCTTAGTGTCACATGAAGTGCCTGAACATCCGTGGAGTAAGATTGGTGTGGATCTTTTCACTCTACATAATGAGGAATATCTTGTTCAAGTAGACTATCATTCAGACTACTGGGAAGTTGACAAGCTGACAGACACAACTTCCACATCTATTGTTGAGTGTATGAAGGCACAGTTTAGCAGACATGGCATACCAGATACCGTAGTGTCGGATAACGGTCCACAACTCACATCACGAGAGTTTGCTCAGTTTGCCAAAGACTGGGAATTCAGCCATGTCACAACATCGCCTTATCACAGTCAGTCAAACGGCAAGGCCGAATCAGCTGTAAAGATTGCAAAGAAGCTGATCAAAAAGTCGCAAAGAGAATGCAAAGACCCATGGAAAGCAATCCTGGAATGGCGTAATACCCCTACTGAAGGTATGGACAGTAGCCCTGTACAAAGAATTATGTCGCGTCAAACACGCACAACTCTCCGAGTTGCTACACAACTTCTGAAACCTGAGCTTGTTGACAGTGTCAGTGCCAAGAAAGCCCTCAAGCACAGAAAGGCTAAACTCTATTACGACAGTCATGCTAAGGAGCTACCTGAACTCACAGTTGGTCAACCAGTACGTGTTCAGCCAGTGCCTTCAGACACAACGAGTAAATGGCGTCACGGGACTTGCGTCAGACAAGTGTCGACAAGGTCATACATTGTTGACATTGATGGTAAAGAGTACAGGCGCAATCGCAAGTTTCTTAGATCAACGTCTGAAACTACACCACCAAAACAGTTGCCGGAAGTTACCAGTGAGATTGAACCAGATTCTCACATAACAGCGAAAAAGACAACTGCTACCAAGACATCGCCAGTTGTGAAACCACCTCCTTCATCGCCACCAGTACCAGCCTCTCTAGAGCTTCCTAAGGAAAACATCAAGACCACCAGGACAAGAGCAGTCAAACCACCAACCAGACTGAAAGACTTTGTTACCTACTAATTGTGCCAAGGAACGAGCACGATTTGTGAACTGTTTCATTTTGACTTCAAACGCAAAAAGAGCATTGTGTTTTAATTTCTTTGTTGTGTTCTCAGTATGGTATTTTGTCTATAGGAATTTCAGAGACATTCCACAGAAACTTTACTTAGTTAACATGTTAAGTTTTATAAAGCAGTTTGAATATTTTAAAGAAACTAATATGTACATTATTCTCAACCTATCTGCCACAATATACCAGTATTTTAATATTACTTAACTTTTGGAAGAAAAGGGGGATGTTACGAGAGTAATCCTTTTCCGTCATAACTGCACACATTCTTACTTTTGTATGTAACCCTGATGCGTTCTACGTCATTAAAATAGTATACCAACAGTCACCATGGCTGAAAGTTAGAAGCGTGCACTACTTCGAAGCACTCATGTCAGGCAGAGCATACTATATTGTCAATTTACAGCATGTCAATGATATATTATTCATCCAAGGGTGGAGTAACTAAATTTTGTTCTTACTTTACATCGTAATTTAAGTGTATGGACAGTACTGGAAACCGTTAACACAAGCATGAGTTACATATCATGTGGATATCTATAAATAGATTGTCAACAGTTATATTGCCCACATATTTTTGTCTGGTGCTCTAAGTAAAACCAGTATAACCTGAAAGGCATAGAGTTAGTGGGTCTTTTTAATGAATAAACATAAAAGAATAGTTGATAAAATCAAAGCAGTACATTATTTCCCCTCACTGCTACATTGGTTTTTATTATATAATAAATGAATCATAACATATAGATCTATTTTATTTGGGCATCTTGAACATGGGGTTGGGCATGTCACCAGGGATAAATCTAGACCTGCTCAGAGGCTGATATTCAGCCCCAAATCTGCATCAGATGTCGGTAAATTGTCCCTCTTCCAAAGTTTTAACATATCTATGCCATCCTAAAATAATGCAGAATGTAAGGAAATTATATTATTAGTTTTTTCCCCAATTTGTTTGCCAAGGGCACTTAGTTTGAAATTCTAAATTTAGATATAAATCCCTGGTCACACTTCCAGAATATTGGACTTAATAAAAAATGCCAGTAATTTAGGTACATGGATGTGAGAACAGTTGAAAACATTTGAGAGGTTCCAAGATGAAATGAGCACCTGTTACTGCCATGGTTATGGCAAATCAATGGGATCCATGTTCCAGAAAAGGGAAACCTGCGATGGTAAAAGTATCTGAAGACAGGGTCTGCAGTACTTCCCAAGAATTAACTTGCATTGATAAAATTTACAACACAAAGTAAAATACACATATGATCTGTTATTCAAAAGACTTGTCATGAATCCAAGAATTATTACTGTTACAACTAAACATGTAAATTAAGTACAACAAATATCTCATAAGGAAGAGAATTTATGGATGTCAACTTCTTAATTATGAGGAACACCACCATCTTTAAATTCTCTCCCTTATGAGATATTTGTTGTACTTAATTTACATATCCGCAAAGCGCGCCCGGCCTTCTGATTGGCTCAAACTGACGCATGCGCCAATTTTGATTGACTGACTGGATTGGTCTATTTGGAGTAAGTATAATGTGTTAAACTGAAGCATGGTTTATCAGTAGTCCAGGCCACAACTATTCACGAGTTTCATAAAATTGGTTTTACACGAGAGCGAGTTTAGTATTTTATTTAATACTTGTCATTAATAATGTTTTTAGAATTATACTGTTGAGTGTAAATAGGCTGACACCTACACGATCCATGGCATAATCCAATTGAGTTTAACAGAATAATACTTCAAACATGTCAAAAGTTGAAACGTATGAATTTATTATCATACAATGGTCCACCTTTAGAATTCAGGCGTTCGTCCCACAAAATTATCGTAGTGCTAAGGCTATCACAACTCACATAATTTAACTTAGACTAACGACTGTCGTTGCGCTAGAGTACGATCGCCTTGTGGAACGGGGCCTTGCACCTCAAAGTTTACAATCACGTCACAATACCCGATGACGTAATTTGTTGAATTTTTTTGCAAGATCCATCGGCGAAACAATGCCATGTGACGTCAGCCTAGCAACAAGGTTGCTGGGGTCATCGAGTGTGCATAAGCTCCTCCCAGTGATCTATCATCTCCACACACAATGTCGTTGAATACGCCAAGGGATGTTGAGAGCTTTCAATATTTGTTCGTGAAACGTGTTCCGAGAGTACATAAGCACGCGTTTTGGTATTACACAATGTGTAATAAAGCTGTATGTTTATTAAACGGATGATCTCTTCACGGGCAAGTAATAAATGTTTGGTATGGATCACTAACCTCATTTCTTTTCTGATTAGATCCAATAGCCACTGTATGCTCTTAACTCCAAACTTGGCTCCAATCTTTATAGTGAGCATAATTAAATGGGTTCTTTTGCTGTCCATTCCGTGGCAATTTATAAACATTGTGGGAGATCTGGTAGATAGTGTCACATTGATTTTACCTCCTTAAACACTTTCATTGTAACCATTGATAGGCGAAGTCATTTGCAATGCATGCATATCTCATACATATCTCATATGATCCCGTCACTGCTGTTATGAAATACTTGCAGACTTAATTAATGTAAACTCGTTTATATCTTTATTTCAAGTTAATTAGAATTTCATTCATAATGCAGCAAATATATAATTCCATAAGTATTTTGTATAGTGATTTATGTTGCATAATGAAAGTATTTTTATCCAGATGGTGGATGTGCTGACACACTTTGTTTACTTCTTGAGCATGGAGCCAATCCCAACACACAGGGCCAGTTCTGGCGCACTCCACTCTACCGGGCAGCCTTCGCAGGTCACCTGGATGCATGTCAGGTGCTCACACTCACCACACTCCCAGATATCAGTGATATCCTGAATATATATATATATATACAATATTCACAAAATTATATCCATAAAACATAAAAAGTTTTCAAATCTTGTTTAGCCTATCTTTCCACAAGAACAATGTGATGTTCAATGTTTCTTGAAGATAAAATGTTGTTTTGAAACATAAGAACAATGTAGGTGCATTATTATAACCTACACTTGTAATTGTGAATGGTAATTGTAAAGACTTACGGTTAAAACATTAGAAACTATGCACATGTCACAAATTTGGAGGTTGGTCAAGTGAAAGTTAAGAGATAAACATATACTGTGTTTACAATGTAGAGCTGAGTTCCCTGTACATGATGTAGTTCAAGATGTAACCATGATAAACATTCACGTTTTGATGCTAGCAGAGATAGTGAGTGAAACTTCATGAGTTGATTGTTTTGAGTAGTTTGTCAGTCTGAATTAAAGACAGACTGATAATAACCTTTTAACAAAGTATTGTGAAGTATGTGCTCAAACATTTTTTCACATTATGTTTCTGGCATGAAATGTCAGGCATTGAAAGTGTGTAGCACAATCACTTTGTAATACAACATCAAGTGGGCATCCCAAAAGAAAATTGAGTAAGCCAAGCTTGCAAGTTCTGTTATACTTACGTTGCTAGTACTAGCAACTAAATGTTTTTATTGCAGGTATATCATCTTATGTTTACAATTTTACCTACTTCCGTTACATCATTGCACGAGCGAGTCCTCGGAAGTTACGTAATCATCTCGTGCTGACGTCATCACTGCTTCTTCAATTACGTCACTGTCTCTACTCATCACTTTCGCACATCCGTTCATCGCGTCGTACATCGCATTATCGCTTTCTGCTTTCGCTGACATTTAGTCACACTGGTCGCATAACTGTTTCACTGGGAATTGTTGATAGATCTAATAGCTATGCCCGTGAATAGAAGAGCTGCCATCAACCATCGTTTGGTCAGAGGGGCCAAACAAGCACGAATTGTCACCTCGACCCCAAGAGTGGTTAACGGGATCCCCATCATGCCCGGTGCTACAGTGGATGGTGAGTTACAATATTCCATTACAAATAATTGTGTGTCAATACTGGCATTTTGGCTTCCACCTCGCCCAAGCCCAAACAAACTGATCAAGCTTTGCATGATCATCAAAACGTGTCAGTAGTGCAGCAGCTGCAACAAATGTGGGCGCTTTGGGGGCAATCGGGGGCCAATAACTCAGGCTAACAACATAGCACTGACACTGCTGGTATTCCTGCGTATTCTCTCAATGCTTGCAGGCCTGGTGGGGTTAACCCGTAACGTGTCAATGCCGAACACGTCAACAAATGAAAATCGTCTGTCGGGGTAATCCCTCGTCTTCAACTCCAAGGTTATTGATGCGCATGTCAAACAACAAACCAAGGAAAAAGTATGGCGAAGTGGGATGGGACAAAATTGATGGTGAGCTATGTCTAAAATACATGATCCTGCAGTCGGGGTGTCAACAGGTAGGTGGTTTATACTGTCAGCTGACTGCTTCAAGAGACCCTGCACTCAACTCAACAAATGCTACGCATTCAACAAACATCATGAGTGTGAAAAGTACAGCTGTACGTACTCCCACAGATGGAAGCAAGTGCGGCGAGACGTCTCACGGGCGTCAACCTGCTTTTGAGGACAGGGGTCCCACGACTCCCCCTCCATACAATAGCTTTAATGGCCTAAGGCAGTCAACCAGAGGAACTAGAGGTAAGGTCGTGGGCTCCTACTCCCGCCAACTAGATAAGTTGACCCTATGGTTGCGTTGTTATGCTCAGTTAAAGGCAGACAACACCAAATATTTACTCGATGGTTTTACAACTGGTGTTTCAAGGTACATGCCATAGTCGTCTTGCAGGCAATTTACAATCCGCAACCCATAAAGATAGGATAGACATCATTATACAAAAGCTTAAAAAAAACCCTGGATCTTAATGGCAGGAGCATTTATCGCTATCCCCTTTGTTTGGCTCACAACAATGCCAAGGTGAGTAAGTTGATGATTTCCGTCTAATTCATCATCTGTCTTATCCCAAAGGTATGTCAATAAACGACCACGTAGATCCACAAGTATGTTCCATCTCTTACGCCAAGTTCGATATGAAGCTGTACAAATGGTGCAACACTTGGGAAAGGGAGCGCTGCTTGCAAAGTTTGACATCAAGTCAGCATTCAGAATTATACCAATACACCCGGATAATTTCAAACTGCTAGGTATCCAATTTGAAGGTAAATTTTACTTTGATTAATGCTTACCATTTGGCTGCTCAGTATCATGTGCTATCTTTGAGACTTTCAGCTCATTCTTACAATGGTGCATAAGTCAGCATCTCCCAGTAATACCGATCATGCATTACCTCAACGAATTTCTGACCGGGGAACAGCAGGGTACAACACAATGCCAATCCTATTTGCAGTCTTCACTTGAAATGCTAACTCAGCTAGGTATTCCCATCGCCCAGGACAAAACAGTTGGCCCAGCGTCTCAACTTACATTCCTGGGCCTTGAAATTGACACGCTAGCTATGCAGGTGAGAATACCAGAAGGTAAAATCAGTGAAATCACAGATCAAATTCGGCACATACTCGCCACATCAAACTCAAAGGCAATGAAGAAAGAGTTACAGTCTCTCATAGGTCAGCTCAATTTTGTGTGTAGGGCCATCCCAATGGGTAGAGCATTTTGCTGCAGTTTCCTCGACCTCCTCTGCCAAGGTAAGCAACCTTTCCATCATATTCTATTCACAGAATGGGTAAAACAGAATCCTCAAATGTGGCTTACATTTCCCATGAACTTTATCGGTGTATCAGTATTTCAGGACAAGCTGTGGGTTGACAACTCTCACCTTCAGCTTTACACATATGCAGCAGGCAGCATAGGTTTTTGGTTTTTGGTTTTTGGGCAGATGGTTCTGCAGTAGATGGCCTGACCAGTGGGTTAAAGATGGGACAACACTTGACATGACCTTTCTGGAGCTGTTTCCCATCATCTTGCCCATTCAGCTATGGGGAACACAGCTGATGAACAAGAAAATACTGTTCTACTGTGACAACCAGGCAATCATCAATAAGCAATCAACCAAAGCCCCTCGGGTGATGAATCTTCTCTGGCACCTTATCCTCCTTTGTCTTAACCATAACATTTTGTTTAAGCCTAAATACATTGCAACCAATTCCAGTGTTATAGCCTATGCACTCTTGAGGTTTCAGCTCAATCGTTTCCAGGCAGCAGGCACCAGAAGCTGAGCCTGCACCAAAGACAGTCCCAGACAACATATGGCAGATCTAAAATGAGAAGTAGGCAGGCTACTACAATAGTCCCTATCTGAAAATACCTGGTTGACCTACAAGACAGGCATCAATGCGTTGCAGATCTGTGCATCAGCTTCAGTGATTAATCCTGTTTTCTTTTTTTAAAGCATTAATTGTTTATTGTTAAACACGTTTATCTCTACATCCGTTGTAATATGCAGCTACCAGCCGACTTGTCTCGGGCTGTGTACTCGCGGGCAGATGACCGCGGAGTACGCTGATCACTGTGTCGGATTTACAAGACTGATTAATGAGTGATTTCGGTAATTCGTTGCAAATTTGGTGTGTCGGAGTCGGAGTGCGAGACTGTCAGATTAACCGGTCTAAAAAGCACTGATTTAATCGGTTCCCATCATTAGTGTTGAATAAAGCTGATTATCAGATTAACGAGTGTCGGATTAACGAGACTTGACTGTAGTTAGTCCAGCCCATAATACCAGCCTAGGTTGGAAACTGGACTTTTATAGTCAGTTACATCTCTTGCCTCTGGAAGATGCCACATAGCTATATTTGGCCTGGCATGGTTATCGCCATTTAGGCCTTTAATAGTATTTATTCCATTTCTAAATTGGGGTAGCTCTTTAGAACCACCCTATGCCATTAAATCCAATGTTGTGTCTTTGTCATTCTTTCAACATAGCCCACCTTCGTCAGGTAGGTGGGCTCTCGCTGTAATATCATACAATAATTACATTTAGTACTAGTGACTCAATGTTTTTATTGCAGGTATATCATCTTATGTTTACAATTTTACCTACTTCCGTTGCGCCATTGCACGCACATGTCCCCAGAAGTTACATCATCATCTCATGCTGACATTATGACTGTTTCTTCAATTACGTCACTGTCTCTACTCATCACTTTTGCACAGCCATTCATCGCTTTACCACCCACCCGCCCTGTTTGCCTCCATCCATCTTATTTCCATTGAACATCACCTTTTATTGTCCATTACAGGTACCATGCACAACAGATTGTACATATCTATCTTTCCAGAATATTGTACATATCTTATCAATGTGAATAAAACAAGTCGTGGAGTGGCGTGATTCTTCTGGGCTACCTCCTATATCATCATAATTTATATTAATCTATATACTAATTAGGGTTTCCAGTTACCTTCTTACCAGTTGGAACCCAGTCTTTCCTGGGTTTTCAGGAATCTAGTAAGAATTATATTTGGCAACGCAATTTGCCACATAGCTGGGCCTGGAGACGTTTGCTCCCTTTTAGACGCTCAACTTCTGTCGGGTTGCGTCATTTTGGCCGTAGCCGTGGCAAGTATATATTAACAATTAAATTTGGCAACACAAGTTGACACATAGCTGGGCCTGGCGGCGTTCGCCCCAATTTGGAACCGCAGTTGTGGTCAGGTAGCGACATTTCAGCCATTTCAGCCATTTGGGCCTTAGCGTTAATTATCTATTAACAATTATGTTTGGCGACTCAAGTCACCACATAGCTAAATTTGGCCTGGCATGGTTATGCCATTTAGGCCTTTAATAGTATTTATTCCATTTCTAAATTGGTGTAGCCCTTTAGAACCTCCACACCCTCGGCCATTAAATCCACTGTTGCGTCTTTGTCATTCTTTCAACATAACCCACCTTCCTCAGGTAGGTGGGCTCTCACAGTA